AATACTAATGATCAAATTATATATAATGAAGCCGTGATTGAATCTTCTATTCAAGCTACGCATAGTATTCAAGGAAACAATGGAGAGGTGGGAGTCATCAAAGTTGGGGAGAGCATCACATCTGTCAATGAACTAATACTGCCATGTCGACTTCGTGGTCTACTACCTTGATCAAGTTTTAAAATTTCATTTGATAGATGTTTAGAATGCTTTTTCATATCTGTGATAACTTCGGAAACAATTTCTTTTCCATCAATTCTGCACATCCAGTTAGAATCCATAGTTGATTGATGTTCAATTATCCAACGTTGATGTGCATTATAAAGTTTGATAACAAATTCGCAATATTCTTGTTTTTGAAATTTTTTTAATTCATCGAGTCCGCTTTCCAGGGTGGCTTGGCTATATTCAATGTCCTGGATAAAAATGTATATAAAAATTTATAAATACTTAATGCCGAATCTTATACATACCAAAGTTACAGAGTAAAAATTAAACATACTTCAGTTTGTCTTTCAGACATATAAGAGAAACCGTTTTGACTGGGACCAATACCAACATGTTCCAATTCTTTTTGATGTCTTACATTTAATAAGATACAAAATTTAATAAAATTAAAAATTAAAACATTGTAATTTCCACATGGGTTATGAAAAATTTAAAATACCTTTCACGCATGCAACCCATTTCTATTTTATGAGAGGTAACCAGATCCTTAACAGCATTATTATAACTTTGTTCCAATTGTAAAAGAGTATCAAAGATTGACGGTACAGGAGAGTGAACAAGAGTGTTATAAGCTTTAGGGAATATATCCTAAAGATTAATAATGAAATTTGGTAAGAGATAAAAATTGAATGGGATCAAATAAATAAATAAAAAAAGATTACATTACTTCAGCTGGGGCATCACTATATTGTACAGTATGTTTTTTATATTTTGATACGATTGCATCTCGAACCTTTTCAGCATTCATCTCATCTTCAACTAGTTATCAGAATTAAGATGAATTCAAGATCATTAACAACTTAAATTTATAATATTCAACTATCGAATTGATATACTTTTAGAAGCCTTTTCTATATCTCTTCTCCAACTTTCTTCGATCAAAGTTTCAACAACCGAAAGAACGGAATTTTCCAAATAACATGGTATATTATTATTATTCATAAAGCACCTGACGGCATCAAGTAACAAACGATCTTTTTTTACATGAATTGTTAACTTAATTAAAGCATTACTCGGAGGAAGAGCAAAATGGAGGTTAATAGAAAGGTCTTTAAGAATTTTTGTTACTTTCATTTTTAAAAAAAATAACGATAATGAAAAGAGTTTAAGTTAGAAAGTATCTGATAAATACTAGTGTCTAAAATTAGTGAAGTATTTATAGATTTATGCAGTGTTCTCGATGTAGTGTGACTCCTAAATAAACCATGTGGCCATGTATAATTGATAACCCTATTTAGATACTTTAGATACTTTAGATACTTTAGGATAAACGAAATAAAAAAAATCCACATTTTTAATATGTAAATTTTTGAAATTGACCGAATTGAAACAAGTAAATAAAGAAATATTGTAACTACAGTTTAATTTTAATTTGTTTTATATTTACGTACTTGTACAATAGTAATTATTAAGATGATTATGCATCATGACGATGAACGAAAGAAAGTAGCAGAAAATGTAACGCGATTGAAACGCAGATCGGATCTTTACATATTGATTGGCTAATCCAATTGCAAAGGTTCATTCGGTAATTGGTTATGGGCAAGTCTACAAACTTGGCTCTGTATCTATGTCGACTTATACATCAATTTCTTGTAAATAGCTATAGAATTGATACAAAAAGTAAAATTTACTCTGTATATATATAGTTTACGTTTCTAATCGGGTTAGATTAATTCGGATTGATCCGAATTCGATTCGAGCTAATCCTAATTGATTGATCAATTTGGATTTAGGAATTCAATCACCATATATACAGTTAAAATACGTATACTTTTTTAGCCCAACCCGAATAATAAGATCCAACCCGAATTAGCCATTCGGATCAGATCAAATTAGGCCGGATCCAGGGTGAGTTCGGACCTTGTCCAATCCGATCCGCTTGGAACACTGATAAATGCATCGGAATATTGGTCGGATGTGCCGGAATTGATTAATTTTACCAAGATCTGGGATGTGAATAGATATAGTCTAAACAAAAATCCTATTGTCTAATTGTCTAATCATCTATTATGTCTAATGCAGTAATGGTCTATTCAACATTTACATTAGCCAATTTATGATATTAAAATTAACCAATCAAATCACTTTAAACTATATATTGTCTAATGGCTTGATTAGACACCATTAGACTATTAGACTGTCTATTGAGTCTATTGACTTGCTATTGAGTCTATTGGCTTGTCTATTGTCTATTCACAATCCTGCCCAAGACCACTAAAAGTTTACTAATGAAGTTATGCCAATCATTAAGTAAAAATGCCCAGCCAATAATTTTGCTACAGACTACTCTATAAAGAAACTGAATTTATATTTTAGATATAATTCAAATTTATCAACCCTCTGGTTTAACCAAAAGTTTTTTACTGCTTAGAAGTTAAAGAAAATGGATATTTTTAAATTTATTTATCATAATACGTATCAATTTTACTAACACGTAGCTATCTTGCTAAAAAAAAAAAAAAAAAGGCCTAATTTGTATTAGAGCCAGTGTTATAAATTCAAAAAATTTTTATTTGCACAAACGCAAAAAAAATATACAAAAAAAGAAATTTATACGCGCTTTATATATACGGAGAGCGCTGATATATGCGCAAATTTAAATCTATGTACGCTGCGCCTACTGCGCGGATCCAATTTACATCACTGATTAGAGCTAGCTTGATTTATAGTTAGAGTTGGCTAGAGACAGATTAGGTATTAGCAAATTTTACTGAACTATAATATAATAATTATGCTTTAAGGTTTCAATCATAAGATTGTTCCAAAACCATAACTAAAGATTGTGACGGATCATAATGAAATCCAGATCAAAATGAAATTATAATATAAAATCTCGAAAAATAAAATTTTTTGGGG